CTTGATAAGTTATCTTCGGAAATACACTCGATTTGGTAAAAGCCTCGGTTTTTAACCCAGATCTGTACAATCGGCCGGCTACGTCTAGAGGCAAGTGTGGAGACAACAATATCACTTACTCTAAAACCCTACATCCCCTGTCCTAAGTCAATAAAAGATGAGGAAAACAGAATGGGCTAAGAGTTTTAAAAAGCCAAAGGACCGAAATGGGCTATTATGGCCCGTACTAAAAAATTTTATTAACAAAAAGAAATTTGTTATAAAATTGATGCCAATTATAGGTGCATATTCTAAAATTTTGTAGACTTATCTTTTCTCCAAATTATATTTTATCTCCAAACTTTGTATTCCTATATATATTTGTGTTTTTCATGGAATAGTACACAACAAAATTCTTTCTCTCTTTCTCTTATTCATAACACGAAATCCTAGCCATATGAGCATAAAACCCTAGCCGTTAGAGCTAAAAGATTTTTTTAGCAAAATCCCTAATTGATACCAACTCCGTTCTCCGCCGATGGTGTCTCCAACCTATCCGTTATAGTTATCGATCAAGATAAGTATTTTTGATTTACACTTATCTCCACATGCTTTTGTCATAACGTGGGATGCATAATTCATGCACATAGAATTTAACTTTAACATACCCACTCTTCGATCATGTTCTTTATTGTTTTATCGTTATAGTTTCACTGATCGTTGAATTTCATTATATGAACATGACTTTACTTTTATATTCTCGATTATATCGCTTTATCAAGATCATATTTTGTTAATACATATACTTTGGTTGTCCCTACATAATCGTGAATCCATGATATTTTAAAACCTAAGTTCCATCACAATAATTAATTAATTTGTAGCCAAAAACATTTTACCCATAACATGAAAAAGCAGGAATATACTTGAACAGAGATATGTAAAAGAGACAGGAAGTTTCCAACAAAAACACTCAGTTTTAATTGCTTTCTCCGCATGGCACAACAGCTGATACACAACACAGCTGCTGCAACAGATAAATTACACAAACACTTCTATAGAACATATCCTACAACCTATTCTACCCAGAGTTACGCGACATCACACACATGTGATTCGTTCCTGAACATGTTCATAATCTACCCAATGTAACGCAATAATAATCATGAAACCTATCTCTTACACTGAACACAACAGATCAAATGGCTCTCACTATCTCTCAGTTCTTCAAAGATCTCTTTTAGAAGAACTAGTCGACATATGAACTATTCCCCCTCCTTTTATAGTAGTAGCAACCAACAACTCCTATTACCCTAAAAACAGCTCCCCCTTAATCCAAAAGGGCAACAGAACTGTTCCTGTTGATGTCAGACCACCAGTCCCATCAACCTTTGCTCAACGGTAAGTAAACCCACTTGCACTTTGGCTTTGTGCACTTGTGTCAGATGGCTCTGTTTCCTGAACCAAGCTTCTCGCGTAAGCTTCTTGGTAGTGCGGCTTCCGACTCAAGGTGCCACCTGGCGTGCCTAGTCATAAGAAGACTTTTCTTCTTAATTTGCTGATTATTCTTTCCAACTCCTCTGGAGCACACGAACACTTCACTGCTTCAGTTCCCTATTGCTTTAGCAGATTCTACTGCACTAACA